AAGACAATACTTCACTCTTGTGGATCTGAGTACAAGACACCCACCTGGGTGGGGTTACACAAGGTCAAGCAAGGTGCCATTAATATCAAAGTACAAACTGGATCTTTTCAGTCAAGTCTCCCTACTCCCTCTCTTGCAACACAAGCAATCTTTTTAATGGTTTCTTGTACAATCCTGATATGCAAATCTACTGACAGGTGTAACAGGACAAACACCTTCTTTCTGGTCATGACAAACCTTAATTTTGAGTTGTGTTTTTGAGCAGCTCCCACAGCACAGAGAGGTAGGACTCATTGTGTCTGGGTTATTATGCACTCAGCACAGCAATCTTATTGCACTAGTTGGGTCATCTCAGGGACTACCTATTTTCATTCAAAAAAGACACCCATGGAGTCTGAGTCATACTCCTTAGTATTGATGCCACTGTGGGAGTATAGACACCTTGCTGACATGAAGACATCATCATTGTAAATGTCTAAAGTTTGGTGAACTGAGTCCACCTATCACCTGTTTAACATAGTCCTCAGATTATGTACCTACCTCAGAGACCCTACGTCAGAGTACTGAGCATCTACTGGGTGACTGGTGAACTTGTTTGTCATGTACACCGAGAATAAAAATTTCTTTACTGACTGTTGTCGTGAAATTACATTATCATTTTCTTCAAGCTCTTTTGTCTCTTGTTTGCATACCCCCCCACCCTCCAAACTGCACACACACCCAGACCATGTGTACACACAGAGAAAATGAGTGTGTGTCAGACCAAGGGCTAAGTTAATGTTCCTTGCATACAGTGCCATTGTGGAAATAGGAATGGAAAATTCAAACAAGCCACCACAGACTCAAGCCTTCCTTGCTTGTCAAATGCAAGTCTAATCACAAATTACCTGGAACACTTTTCGACTTGTTGAGTATACTTATGGGTGTGGTTGTAATATGTTTAATGTGTGTGCTAGGGAGACGTAGTAAGTTTTTTAAGCTGCAAGTTTGCCAGGACAGATTCATCTTAATTCACTTCAAATTTCATTTAATAACATTTATTATAGTCAAGAAGGTATATTAATATTCTTCAAGTGCATCAGCAAACACACCACTGATCTTAAATGTCTCAGTCATAAATACTGCAGTCTAAAGACTCTGCAGTGTCTTAAATGTCTGTATCACACACATCATAGTGTATTACAGTGTTTGGGTGCATCTTTCCTTCTAAATGCCTTAGATAACAAATAAATGAAAGGTGAAGAAAAGGCAACTGATGTGGAGCCCTCTGCAGACTGCCTCTCTGCATGATCTGTCCCCACCCCTTCCGTTCGGGATGACTCTTGAGTGAAGCCTCTCCTCCTCACTTCCCAATCCCAAAATCTGCAGAAGAGCTGAAGAGCACCTGAAAACTGGATGGGCAGCACCAGGAGCAAAACTGTCACCAAGAACTGGTTTTCTTCTTTTTCTGTTTAGGGAAATCTAGCTGGTATCTCACTGAGCAGAAGAAGTGAGCTGGGCTGAAGCAGGATCCTGCACTCCAGGTATGTGAGGGCAAACTGGTCCATGCAGACTGGGTTGACAGCAGAAAAGGATAGCTACTTTTACCTATGCTGAGAGGGAAAATCTGAAATTGCTAAGCAAGTAGATATAGCTCTTTGGAAAGGCATGAAACAATCAGCAAAACTTCCTCAATTAAAAAGAGACTATTATTTTGGTTTCAGTAAAAAATGCACAGAGACAAGTATCAGGGGGCAGATAAGATGAAGAAAAGGCTGTCAACTTTGGAAAAGGCTAAATTTCTTTTTGAGTCTTTGCTACAAACTGTGGTACAGCAGTAGTTCTGAGGACATTGATAATTTATGTTCATCAAGTATCAAGTTCACATTGAAGGACCATAATTTTTTTTCACCCTTATGGTAATGAATTCTCATTCTTTTCCATGTGTGGTCCACTGAGCTCTTAGCACTGAAATGAAATGCTGCTGTAGCTTAAAATGTTATCGCTCGACCTGGGAAAAGGGCAAAGATGTCACATCTTGGCATCAGTAGTACAAGGTCCTGCCAAACAGCACAGCACTTTGAGATCACGTGTTCATACTCACTTTCTGAGAAGTGGAGATCATCCTTAGCAGGATCTTTGCCCCTGTCTTACCTGATTGTTTTAAAAAATATTTTTAACCTCACTTTTCAAGTAGAGATTTGTTTTTTCCTGATGAAAACTAAGACAGCAGAATATAACTATGTGATTTGTTGCTCCTAGAAGTGCAATAGTTTGGGTCTGTCCTACCCGCTTCTGTGGAGCCCACCTTTATGTTGTAAAAATAACTGTCCTCAGTTTTTATGTTACTTGCATGAAAGCTGAATGATATCATGACACCCAAGGAAGGGCAGGACCACTAGAGAGAAGGAGAAGGTCTAAGAAGCCTTTCTCTTAAGGAGCAGTAGGTTGTCACAAGACTCATCAGTATCTGTGGTTTTCCCCATTAGCAGCAGTAACTTTTCCCCCTGTTCCTTGCAGGCCCTGCATCTCTTCTGTGCTGCTGCACAGTGATGTAGAGTGGGACATAAAGGTGAGATGCTGCCAGCTTGGAAATGTGCCACGGGGAAAGCGGGGAAAGGAAAAGTGTAATGGATGAAATTGGTGGGAAGACAGAATGAAGTGAGACTGGAAAAGTAGGAAATATCCCGGCGTGTTGCTTTGCCACACCACATTGCGTGAGACAAAGCAGGCGGGAGTAAATAAATCTTCTGACTGAAGGATCTCATTAAACTTCTAAGCAGTTCAGGTGTGGCTGACTATTTACTAACGTTCTCCTCTGCCTGGTGCCTGGAAAGGAGCCAGCTGGCCTGGCCTCAGTCAGCACAGGCCAAATAAATGGTTTCTGGGAAGCAACCAATGGATAGGGAGCAGGCTGGTTCACAGCTATTGCAGAGCTTAGTGCCTCCTAAACAACACTTCCTTGAAGGAGACACCACAGGTTGTGCCCTTCTGAACAAAATAGCATGGTGGAATAAGACTGTAGCTGCCATCTCAGAAGGCAGCAGTGTTAGCAATCTTTGGGAGTACCTGCGGCTTCTCCAGGCAGCCTCCTGTACTTCAACAAGCTCATTCATCTTAGGTTATAAAAAAGAGAGGTAGGAACCACTTTCGTATGAACAGACCTCTCTCAAGCATTTTCATGCATTTCAAGCATTATGGGGGGGGTGGGGGGGGAGGGGGCTTAAACTAGGAGATAATCTCCCACATGTGACACACCTTCCACTTTTGTATAATGCCAAAACTATGCAGGTCTTAATCCTGAAGATTAGGCTATTTTGTGCTTCCTAGAACCAAGCCTGACAGATACTGAGAAAGTTGGGATGAAATTTAACACATGTAATCAATTCTCAGTTATCAGCACAGGAGATTACTATGATGATGAGAGATCATCCATCTCATGGATTTATCTGAACGAGCTTGATTAGAGCAGTAAAGCTATGTCTGCCCAGTTCCTGTATGCCTACACCACTATCAGCCAGGGTTATGGTTGTAATCAAGCATAATTGCTCAAACTCAGTCCTGGCCCAGCCAGATCTGGTGACAGCAGCCCCAGGTTTGGAGAGGATGGGGAACAACAGTGTCTCTGCACTATGCATTGAGGAGGTTGGTTATCTTGGGTATAAAGCAGTTTAAATGCATATAAAATTTGGGTTTTCTTGGGTATAAAGCAGTATAAATGCATATACAATATGGATTCTTTTATTAAGCCAGAGTGAATCATGCAAATTGGGAAGTGTTATGGACATAAGCAAGCAGTGAGCCTCTGTGGCATCAACTCTCTGTTCTTCATGTTCTTCAGTCTGTCCCTACCATGGTTCCAAATGTGTCCATATTGCCTAACCAAAATTTCCCATTAACCTGTGAAATGTAGCCCTCTGCTGCTCAAGTTAATGGAGGACTGAGGAAGGCATATATTTTTATAGGAATTTGCTGCTCTTCCATGAAGGTTAGATATTTTTATGAAGTACATGCTACAACGCAAACTAAAAGGATAGGTTGATGTAGAAATGATGAAGTGAAGACAGTCATAGTGTATATGCCTGTGTACTGCGCGCCCAAGGACAGTTTCAAAGTCAGTACAAAGTCAGTGCATGGCTAGGAAGTGTAACTTATCACTGCCCCTGCAGACTTAATTGGACTTCTTGTATAGATGCATTGTAACACCACTTTTAATTACAAGATCACAATCTACTTTTTGCGCAGAGTCCATTCCAAGCTCCTGACACAGAGAGTCAGTACAACTTTTGACTTTAATCTGTCTAGTACATCTACTGACTCATTGTCTCTAATTGCTACTTTTGCAGAAGGGACAAAACCATATGCTCTCAAATATTCTGAATGAGGCTTGCACATAAATTTGGTTTCTCGCAATCCCTTTCAAGGGCACAGGGGCACATGGCACTGGAAGCTAGTTTACAAATCCATACTGTAGCTCATCACTAGCTGTGCTCGGTACTCCTGCTTTCAGAAGAGGTGTCATGCTGCTACGGAAAGCACAGATGAGCTACTAGGCACCAGCACTGAGAGAAGCACTGAGCACTACACTTCAATGCAGCAGTTGGGTGCTATGGTCCTTGCAAATAATTCAGAGGAACCAAAATAGGATTCCCCATGAAGACACGCATGATGGCCCCATGCCCAAGGATACAGTGACATTAGAAGCCATAGTGCTTCACACCACAGCCACATGGCAGAAAAACAAATGTGACATATGAATGTCAAGACTTACATGTCCAGGTTGCTTGTAGTTTGATAACTTTGATTTTGGTATTTCTCTTTATTCTCAGCTTAATAACATAATAGATGAAGAGGCATTCTGAACTGCACATTACTTTTGCTTTTTTCTACTTTCTCTTTTCATACAAGGATGTCAGTGTTATTTACAAAAGTTGTTAAACTACTTTCAGAAAACCATATTTGCCTTTTTTCCCTAAATTATTTTTGTTAACAAATTATTTTTTCATTCTTGCTATATTTTTTTTTTTTTTAGGTTTTCAAATGGCTGATCCTTTTCTATATAATACTGGAGAAAGGTCTCACTATGGGTGCCTTGGCCATGAAGTACAAATTGAGTACCTTAAGGCATATGTTTGTAGACCACCTTTTTCCACGGACAAAGCTGTGATTGTGGTTCATGATGTATTTGGATGGCAGTTCCCAGACATTAGATACATAGTCGATTTGATGGCAGGTCATGGGTATATGTAAGCAACTTTCTTTCTTATCTTCCCCTTAAAATACACTGATAGATCACCAAGCCCAAAGCTAGGCATAGCATGTGATGTTTCCAATGCATATAAGACACTCATACCACTTCAGTCTGAGCAAATAAAAAAGAAAATGGACCAAATATTTCCATGGAGCCACCAAAGCTACTAAAACTGACCTAGGAAAAATGGCTACGTAAACACAAAGGCACAAGGAGTCTTGAAGTGCCTGTGTTTGTGCTTATGAAGCAGCGTGGGTGATCCAAAGAGAAGCAGTGGTATCTATTTTATGTTGTATAAGCTTTTCAGAACCAAGCCTTTTGAACATTTGCTTTAGCTTGTAACAACAAAGAGGTGTATATGTGTTTATATAGAATCAGGAGGTTTGTTTAATCCCATTATTTTTGTATTAAGTGTATCTAAGGAAATAATCAGGAAACAATTTATGACTTTTTTTCCATACAAAGACATATACTTTTATTTAGCTGATTACCAGAATAGGACGAGTAAAACATGATTCAGACAGTGGTCATGGAGATGTATAGTCTGGACTAGAAGATATTAGGAGACATTTAGATGTCCACAGTTTTAATGAAAATTGACTGAATTCCATATCTCACACAGAACCATCTGCCCAGACTTCTTCAAGGGAACAAAACCCTGGACATCTAGAGATCACTGGGCTGACTTTCCTGACTGGATGAAAAATCATGATCCTATGAAAGTAGACAAGTAAGATACATATTTGTACTTGAACTTTAAAAAGCATCTAGCAAACAAAGAGAATTTATATGAAATATTAGAAATGGCACCTCACAGCAGGGCAAGCTGGCTGAACAACCACAGTTTCTTGTTCTGGGTGATTCTTCCATGGTCCTGGGCACTGTCTTGGCAGGGATTTGAAAAGGGTTATCTGCTCTGCCCATCACTCTGCTTATTGTCCCCATCTTGTTTTCCTGAGCCCTTTTCTGACTACGTTATACTGGCTCACAGCGTTTCACAGGCTATGAAATACCCAGCACTCTCACCCACAAGTGCTGATTCTGCACTCAGTTCCTCAAGATAAAGAGGAAAATTCTTCTACAATTGCAGATGTTATCTGCCAGTTGTCACATGCCCATCTTACTTTCTCCTTTGCAGATTATGATAGGTACTGATGACATTCTCCTGAGCAGTGCTACATAAAAATTTGCTAGATTGACCAAAACCAAAGATACGTCTGATCAATTGTACTATTTTTTCAGTGTGAAATAAAGGGATCATTATTTGTATAATCTAACAGGGCCTGTAACAAGGCTTCCCTGAATTATGGGAGACATTGCTGTTTCTTCAGCATCTCTCACCACAGCTCAGAACTTCAGATGATAGTGAGGCAATAGTGACACCCTATTACTCAGCTACCATCCTGCAAGCCACGAGTATTCTTCTGACCCTGTCCGGAAGAATGTTTCAGCAGCTGGACTGTTTCAGCAGTTGTTTCAGCAGCTGGACTGAAGATAGCCACAGTCTATCTTCAGTGTCTCTCAGCAAAGTTTTTGACCATATAATTCCAGAAGTTGTGACCAAATTTTTTGAAAAGACAAATGCCTAACAAGTGTAAAAAAATCCGGTTCCAAAGAGGAGCAGATATATGGGCACTGTCTTTAAAAATTACGATCTCAGGACATGCCTTTGCTGTCTTCTGGGGGATCACTGAACATTCCAGTTCAGATCCATTGTTCTTTCAGAGAAAATGGAACCCCAAAATATCCATGGCTTTCTTAGCATCCTTTCAAACAAACCAAATATGAGAGCATGGCCACAGGCCTAGCACACAATGTCCTCTTCATGTCATTGTCATACTGGGGTTTTTTTTGATCAGCCTAACCAAACCTGAATGACCATACAACTCTACCTAATATTTGAAAATTCAGTAAATAGTTTATGAACTCTGAATTTAAACTTAATCTAAAACTCTGTAGGTAATGAAGAAGATAAAATTATTAAAGAAGTCAGCAATTAAAAAAAATTTGTTCTGACCTACAATGAAAATATTTTTCCTGTTTTGTTTTTCATTGCACCTCATGCAAAAGTTATTTTTTTAAACATTGTAATTACTGACAATGTAATTTGAGTAATTGCCATTTTGGCATAACATTTTTGCATGTGGGCTTGGTAAGATATTTTAGTATTAACTCATGTAACATGAATGACAGGAAAAACCTTTATCTAAATAGGTGAACTCTGTAAAGATAGTACAGCGAAGCTTATCTATTCCTACAGTCCATAATGCAAGATATTGTTCTACTTCCAGATATGTCTTGTCTTTAGTTGTCTTGTCCTAGACAAAGTGATTCAAATAAAAATTTAATAATTTTGAAAACAAAGGAGCAGGTGACAATTCAGGTAAGTATTTATGTGCCTACACCTGTACTTCCCTAAACTAGGACCAGAGATGTTAATTCTCATTTAATAATAGAAGCTACTGCTCTAGCCTGAAACGTGATTTTTAAAGTAATCTCTGTTTTAAACAATTGAAGGTGCAGATACAGAATGAAATACCATATATGTCATTTAATTTACTTCTTAAATTGTCAAGTATTGGTTCTGCAATTGATTACTTAGTTTACTTTTCTTTTTATATCTTAGGGAAGCTGATGTTGTCTTGAAGTATCTAAAGGAACAATGCGGTGCAAAGAAGATTGGTATCATTGGGTTTTCCTGGGGTGGAATGGCAGTACATCACTTGATGCTGAAAAATCCTCAATTAACCGCTGCGGTGTCCCTCTATGGTAGTGTAGAATACATGAAAACTTACTTGGGTTCACATGACTAGGCATAGTTTGTAATTCTACTTATTGCTTTGTAACAATTTCTGTAAATGCTCAACTCAAAGGCGAGTTGCAGATTTTAATTATGGTTATTTCAGCAATAAGCTGTATTGGTATAAAAATATTAAGGATACTGTAAACAACAACAAAAAAAATCGTTCCTTGTTTTAGGAGAGCAGGGAAATATGCTTTCCAAATGCTTATTCTCCATCCACATAGCCAGTGTCCTGATCTAAGTAACGTACCTAATGAGTAAACTTAAATAGAAATGTTCTCTTTTAATTTGCCATTTATCTCACAGTAACCTCACTAACTGACTGTTTCTCAAAACATTATAGGAATAGTTAGAGACTCTGAAGAAAGATACAGTTTACTAAATCCCACATTTTTCATTTTTGGTGAGAAAGACCACACTATTTCTTTGGATCAGGTAAGCTGTTGTTCTGGAAAGGCTTCTTTTCTGATTGTCCATTTATCTTACAGAGAAATCTTTGTTCGAAACCATTTTCACATACAAAAAATTAGGCAGGCTGGGCGGTTCTGTTTATATTTCAGCTTCCCCTCTATCTTGTTTAGGTTATTCAATGCTTCTTTTTTGAGGTGAGAAATACAGTAAAGAACAGTCATCAGTGTCTGAGTGGATAGATAAGCAGAGTGTGAAATTGGGCAGGGATATCCAACTTGGCGTGAGCCAAGCATCTCAAAAACTTATATACTTGTATACAAAAAATATATATGTTATGGGTGAGAAATCAGGTGGCTAAACCACTGAATTTGGACATGAATGGAAAAAAAAAAGTATTTTCAGCGTAGTAACTGAACTTTCTGGTGGTGGGGAGGCATGACTAGCTGCTTTTGCTACAAGAAGACAAAATTAACTGTGTCAAAAGAGTGGGCATGAACTTTACCTGAGACAACAACAACAACTCATAGACTCAAATGTTTTGACTCCTGACTGCCATCTTTGTTCTGATATAACCCCTGCTGCAAGCATATGTGAGAGGTTGGATAAATATATGGGTAGGAAACTGGTGCCCTTTTCTATGCATAAATTCTTTTTCTTCAGTGACAAGGATAACATAGCACCTCTAGCACAGCTTGTTCTTTAGGGTAGGGTCAGACTGGACAACTGGCAGTGTGCTCTATGAATGCAGAAGTCACTGAATATTTACTTCTAACTGCATTAGTCAGCATATTAATCTGTACCTCATATGTGTCTCCTCTGCAGAGGAAAACAAATCCTTCACCCCCTGTCCTCATTTTATGGTGAATGTGTCTTTCTCCCAGGGGCACAATTTTGGCAAATGCATTTTTTCTGTCATGTGTTACACATTGAAACCACTCCTTTTTCTCCTGAAGCTTTCTTTCTGTGCAGATTGTATAAGTAAAAATTCCTGCATTAAACAAAAAACAACCCTCAAATACATAGTTTTCTGTACTGAAAAAAGGGCTTCATAAAAAAAAAAAAAAACCCGCAAACGAAAACAACAGAAAACCATGAAATAAATTACAATACTCTCTCTAATCTGCACAATGGGTAGAAGTAAGCTTGTGGGGCAAAATAAGTGTTCATTCTTCTATTTTCTGACTTTTAGTGGAAATAAGCACAAACTGTGCCAGCAAATGTATATGGGTACCTGAATGTTAGTACTTTTTATGCATGCTAATCACCAAAACATTGTGCAAGAGCAATGTCTTTTTGTTGTTCAGTTAACAAAAAGAAAAAAAAAAAAAAGCCCTCCATCGTTTCTTAAAATCTGTTGCTAAGCCTATCTAAATGTTTTGGACTGATGGCCACTAAGGTTCATGGTCTATGTTCTCTCAAGATCAAAGCTTCAAATGTAGGTTACAAGCCTGAGAGTCTGAACAGAAACACACCTCCTCTTTTATGGCAATGAGATTTACCAAACCATCTTTGCTGCAACTGTTGAGGTTCTTAGACTCACCCATACTTTAAAAAAAAAAAGTGTCAGTCTTACACCCAAAGATGCATTTTCTCCATTAGAAACAGCAAATTTGGCAAACTTAAAAAAACCCCGTAATGTAATGGAAAAATCCTTTTTTTTTTTTTAACAGATCTTCTTATTGGAGGACAAGCTGAAACAGTATTGTAAAGTTCCATATAAAATTAAAGTTTATCCTGGGCAAGTTCATGGGTTTGCACAACTGAAGCCAGAAGATATGAAACCTGATGATAAACCTTATATTGAAGAAGCTAGAAGGGATATGATTGATTGGATCAAAACGTTTGTTTGACAATAGCAGAAAGAAATGCTAGGCTTCAAGATCAGTGATTGATTTAATTTGAGAGAAGGAAACAGTCAAGGGAAAAATATCTCATTTTGAAAGTTGTCATAAACTAAAATAGGAACATTTTAATTTATAGCTTTAAATTATTTTTGACAATATTTAGGGAAGATTGTGAAATAAAAGTCAGAGTAAAGGATGATTAGGCATTAAAAAGCTTTTTGACCTTTTTTTTGCTTTTTATTTGCTTTATTATTTTACATTATTACCTTGATAGCCATGGTAGTATTTAGCCATTTTTCTTTGCTAGTAAGCATGACTTCATCATGACTTTACTTGAGTAATTTCAGGCTTTATTTTGGTATGATGATTGGTGGTCATAGGTGTTCCCATGGAAGTATGCTGGGTTTGCATACAGATATTTTCTTTTATTACCTACAAAGTATTCTTCTCAAACAAACCCTTGGCTATACTAAGGAGTTAGGAAGAAATGATGTTGTTAAGTGACACCCTCCAGGTATTCCCTTGGCAAAATTAAGAAGGGTACTTCTGGTATTCCTTCATCAACATCAAGGAAAAACATAAACTGTCCTCCTGTGGAAGTAACCCAGACACAAACACTGCAGAAACAGTGGCTTTTATGTCATGGTGAAATTGTGGTGATCCGGCATAGGACTCATGCAATCCTGATTATATTTTTTGCTGCACATTATATCCTTGTTCCTCTCTCAAGTTCTTCCTCCTTATCACCCTCATAACCTCCCAATAACTTAATATAAAAAAAGCATCCCCATGCACACTCACTCTGCCCATGTGTGTTTTTTGAATTTCATTGCCCGGGTAATGACTTGGCAATTAGTGATTACTCAGAGATTCTCTAAGGAACCCATCATCCTTTAAATTTTCTACATTTGTCAGTTTCTCACCCTGTCACCTTGTTAATGTTGCCATAAGTTAAGGCTAGCTAGCTACATTAATATGACTTTCCCTTTGATATCAGGCAGTCTGGCAGTTTCACACATTGTTATCCCCTCAGTGTAACTATATGGTCATGGCATGCTGGTTGTCCACACACCTCAACAGACCAAGTATGTTAAACAATAGTTGCTCAATGATCCTCTTAAAAGGGCTTTTTTAAGTACTCTGAGTGAGATGGATGGGAGAAATACCAACAAGACATTATCAAGAGGCCAAAAAAAAAACCAAAAACTTCACTGGCAACTATAGAAAATCAGAGAACTTTGGCAAAAGGTTTAGAGCAGCATTCTACCAACATAAAACTTCTCAGTGTTATTCACTTGTCTATTCAACGTACCAAACTCCAAACCCATCTAATTTTAAATTATTCAAAACTCCAAGAAGAGGGAATTAGAAGAAGAAAGAGACAAAACCAGAAAAGATATAGAAAAGAACAAGTATAGCTACCATTCCTAGTTCCAGCAATGTTCTGTCTCTCACAGTTGCATGCCCAGCTGTATTCATGCATTTAAATATTTTGGAGTCCTTATTCAATATGTCAGTACCTGGTCCTGTTTAATTACAGGAAAGGTGCCGTGTCTGTGTGTGAGATCCTAATTTTTGATAATTATTCCTTCTGACATGAGCAGGAGTTCCTCTAGCACTCTGTTGCTTGCAAAAGAGCTGAAATTTCAGTACCCTTTTCCTTGACCTTCTATTACCCAGACACCCAGTTGCAATCTGATCCATATGCAGTCATCTTGTGTGGGTGTGTAAAGAAATATCACCACTGTGCCATAAGAAATCTGGAGAACCTTGTCTCTTTACGGAATAGAACCCTGTTGGTGAAAGCACAGATTTGGCAGCACTTGCCTTGCCTTGCCTTGCCTTGCCTTGCCTTGCCTTGCCTTGCCTTGCCTTGCCTTGCCTTGCCTTGCCTTGCCTTGCCTTGCCAGGAAACTGTCTCTTAAGACTATTTGCTGCCTTTGTCTCTGGTGAAGATGGTGAGCAATCTCTGGGCAGTTGTGAGCCACAGGCATAAAAATTATATTGTGAGACCACTTCTGTTGGAAGATATTTATATCCATGAACTTTAACTAATAGGGGAATCTGTGCTGCTTATTTCCCAAGTCTGAGGTTCTGCTTTGCAGTCAATGAGTTTTCAGGTGGAAGAAGAAAGAATTTGTGTGTGTGTATGTGTGAGTAAATTAGGGAATTTTAAGGTATGTGAACACAGTTCTTTTCAGTTGTATTGGGGACCTCAAAATCTGTGACACAAGTGGTTATCTCTTAAACTCAAGGACTTATAAAATGACACAATCAAGGTCACTGCTGTACATTAAAATGTACACTGTGAGGTGCAGTACAATACATGTATCATCAATGTGACTTGCTGCTATTTGCCATCCAAAAAATGCTGGAACTGAGACTCTTATGTTCTTCCAGTACCAGTAAATAAACCTGGTCTACTGGTTTGTTGTGCATGACGAAGAGTTAGGAATGAAGACATTATTAATTTATGCAATACTTGCACTTAGACAGTCCATAGTCATGCAAGGGATTGTTAGATTTCTCTTTTTCTAGTTTCACTTCATTCAAGCACTCAAGCTTTTGCTTTTTAATTCTGAGGAACAGCATAGAAAATGGATGCACAAATTTTCCAGACAAACTAGGAACAGAATGTTTTCCAAAGGCAAAGGAGGAGATGAATATGCCTGAGATGACTGAAAAATGGGTGCATACAGACATGCCTAGATCACAGTCCTAGGACTAAGCAGGCTTAATTCACTACGAAAAGGACACACATATCCTGAAATGTTCCTGACTTGCCCTGGGAAGTGTGGTTGGCAGTGTGTTGACACAAACAAATAATTTACTAGACCTAGCCAATGGCTGCCTTCATGGTTCTCAGGAGTGAAGGAAGGCATTAGAAGCAGGTTGTGGGCCAAAATAACCTTGGGACCACCAAGATGGTAAGAGGGCTTTCCTGTGGAGACAGGGTGAGAGAGTTGGGGTTGTTTGGCCTGGGGGGCTGCCTCCGTCTTCACCCCAGATGGGTGCAGTGGAGAAGGCACAGGGGAAGGTGAGGAGGCAGCAGGCACTAGGGGAACCATGGAGCTGCCCAGAGAAGTGACAGAATTTCCCTCTTTGGAGAGGTTCAAGACCTTCAGGGTGAGTGAAACTTCAAGTCTTGTCCATGGGAGATTGGACAAGGGCATCTTCAACCTACAACCTCCTTTGATCTTCAAAATCCCCATGATGACCTGAAGGTCTTGGAAATAGGAATTTGAGGGAGCTGTGAATGCAGTGTCTGAAGTGAAAAATTCTGGTTGCATTATTGGCATTAAAACCTGTTTGCAGTGGGATAGAAACTGTCTGTTTTCCCAAACACTACTCATCATAAAAAATAGCATTCAGTGGGGAACCTCTTTAGGTGACACTTGTCCCTACAATCCAGGTGTCTTGGGTGTGGGATAGCATGTATGGGCTGCAGCTGCACGTTCTGTAAACAGATTTTATAGGAGAGATGTGAAAGCCTGCTTGTAGTCTTCTCCAAAGGCACCAAGACATGGGTCATCAGGGCTGGTACAGGGTGTCTCCAGCTATTCTGGGCATCCAGGCTCTCCTGCTGCTCACAGCATGTGGCCACATGTGCCATGACCTCTAGGGTGCCTGAGAAATTGTTCCTTGGGTTGGTTGGTTGACCTTGCTGGTGGTGGATGCCCTGACCTCATCTCTGCTCACCCTTCTCTCTTCTCATTCCTGTTCTTCAGTGAGCAGGTAAGGAGTTTGCAAATAGTATGTAAAAGTGTCCTTCAGGTCTTTCTTTAAAAGCTGTATTGAGGCAGGATGCCTCATACCTACAGAAACGGGAGGATGGCTTGCCTTGAGAGAAGGAAATGAGGTCGTTTTTGCACTTCTCAGCCCAGCCATGACTCCAGTTTAGGTGAGATCTGCTGCAGTTGGTAATCACAGCTTGTTTTCAGCACTGCATTAACAGCACCGTGGTTAACAGCTTCACAGCCAGACCATACTTGCTCCAGGAAATGTCCACAAGATGGGGCCCCTTTCCTTGACAGCCACGAATAAGACTTTTAGGACTTGGGCTCTAATTACAGTAATCAATACTCTGAATGAATGGTCCCTGTCAGATCCTGCAGTAAAAGTACACCAGTGTCAGAGGAAACCTGGCTTCCTAGGAAGTGGAAGCTGTAGCAAGTGAAGCTGTTGAATGTTGTCTCTGCATGCAGCAAGGCACCAGCTTCTTGGGGTGTGATAAAAGGTGGCATGTCATCTGCTTTAGAAGTCTGTAGTTATTCAGAGGAAACCCTGGTTGTCATAAAGCATCATCATACCCTGCATTTTATTTTGCACTACTGAATATTTATCAGTTTATCTCTTCTATGTAGCAAAATCAAATTACCTTGGGATATCATTAGAGCTTGATAAGCCAATAAATTGGAAGAAGTGTGATTTTAATTTTAACCCAAGGGTATTCTCTTTATGCTTGCTCATCATGAGTCAGACCTTTCTTTTTCCAACATAAGTATAAATAGAGTTACACTAAGCTGCTTAAACAAATTTTAACTGTGGCAAACAGTATTAGCTCCAAAATGCTGAGTTAATCAATTGCAATTCTCTGTTAAACTTAATTGGCCAAATAGTGCAAAATCACTTTAAAATTCCTCGGCAAACTAGAACTCAGAGGGACAACCCAAATATTTATCACTGGAAAAGTAGTATTCAAAGAATAACAGCTGGTAAATCTGAATTTCTGCCATCCAAGCATTACCAGTGCTCATGTAGGAGAAACCTCTACTACAGAATGAAGTACTGGGGAGACAGATTTGTGTCTGATATTCCAATGCTGCATGAGAAAATGGGGAGTAGACCCCTTGATGACATGCCATAGAAGAAACTGGACAAGGACTGATGAGCAATGAGAAGAATAAATAGATGGATGAAGGAGAAGGTAGAGAAGCATTTCAAACTACTGCTGTTTGGAGTCTTGTTACCTGTTCTTCTGTTGATGCTATAGCCCCAGGCTCATTGCTGTGGGTGGGAGAACAGCACAGGTGTTGTTATGCTCTGGCTGCAATATTAAGAGTTAACAGATAACACTCTGCCCAAACTGGGTCTTACCCAAATTGTTTTGCTATTTGGTTTTATTTTCTAGAGAGGGTTTATGTGATAAATTAATCTTGAAACTGTTTTTTATACTGTTTACTGCATTACAATTGTAGCAGAGAAATTGAAGAGGGATTTTTAGACGTGTATTAGAGGTCTTATTTAGATGTTTTATTAGGTCTTATTTAATAGTTTTCTAACTATTTTAATTAGTTAGAAAATCTAGAATGGGATAAATAACTAAGATATATCCTGAACAAAAAGCAGTTAAGCATTGAAGAGCACATCTGATTTTTATTGCCAGCATGCTGCATTTCACTTTGGTGAAGTGGACCAGCCAGACCAAGGAATATTGTTCCAGTACATGCATTTACATGGGAATAAGCAAGCAATTCCATTTTGATCAGTTAAGAGTGACAGCAGAGCAAGGTTTTGAACAGCTCCTCTGACTAGTGTCAAATAAATGCTCTCTGTATGACTACCTAATGCCTGTGAAGGGAAGAGGGGATCACCAAATGTTAGTTTGGTTTAAAAAGATGCTACAGTGGCCTGTCTCCTGTTGAAAGATACAAGAAACTAAACTGAGCTTGAGGGTTTCATCTGAGAAGACCTCCTAGATCATAAACTCTATAGAAACCTTTCTTCACTTGAGGAGAAATGCAGTAGTTTCCAGCTTGTCCTTTAAAATGCATACCTCTGGAGAAGTTATGTATTTGTGATGTATGAGGATGTGTTATATGCACAGCACTGGTCTGTCTCTATTCTTCTGACCACTCTCAGTTCAGATTGCACAGTTTATAACTTTGCAAAGAAACCCTCTGCTGATTTGCCTTCAATATGATTTATTAAAACCTTTAGATATAAGTTAATGATAAGTACCCTGGGAAAGGATTAGGTATGCCAGCGGATACAAGAGACCAGCAAAGTGCATGTAGGAAGCAGCAGCTTTGGAGTCCCTAAAGAGGCAGGGAAAGGTGACATACATATTGAAAGCTTGAAGAGAACAGTAGTCAGAAAAACAGCATGATGACAGTGGGGTCCCCCAGGAGTTACAGCAAGAGGTTACCAGTGTGTGAGGAGGAACTGTAAGACCACATGAGAGGAGTGGTTATGAAGCAGTGTGTGGGGACATCACATGGAAATGTAGTTATCATGTGCTGAATTGCTCCAGGCACAAAGCTAGGAGCGGTAGACTGACATAAACCCTTCCT